AACCCTAAACCCTAAACTCTCCAAAGTCAGGCAGAGCTGATCGAAGCTGTCGGCTTTCGTGGCTCCCAGCTGCGCCGGGCTGCTCCCTGCAGGGCGTTTCGTGGGGACCTGCAGCCTGGACCCAGTCGGGGCTTAGTTTAAGGCCTTTAGGGCCTTTAGGGTTTTAAGGGCTTTAAGGGTTGAGTTTAGGGCCGAGGGTTTAGGGTTTAGGCTTTAGGGCTTTAAGGGCTTAGGGCTTAGAATTTTAAGGGTTGAGTTTAGAACAACAACCACCACCACCACAACAACAATAACAACAACGACAACAATGACAACAAGAACAACAACAACAACAACAACACCCAACAACGACGACGACGACGACGACCACGACGACGACGACGACGACGACGACGACAACAACAACAACAACAACAACAACAACAACAACCGACGACGACGACGACGACGACGACAACAACAACAACAAGAACAAGAACAAGAACAACAACAACAGCAGCAGCAACAACAACAACAACAGCAGCAGCAGCAGCAACAACAACAACAACAGCAGCAACAGCAACAACAACAGCAGCAGCAGCAGCAGCAGCAACAACAACAACAACACCCGACGACGACAACAACAACAACAACAACAACAACTTCTATTTTGCAACTAGCCACGCGTGAACTCCCAAGATTCAGTCCGGAAGTTGCGGTCCATGAAACCCGATACTTTAAGCTCTAAACCCTAAACCTTAAGCTCTAAACCCTAAACTCTATCTGACCCTAAACCCTAAACCCTAGACCCTAAACTCTACACCCTAAACTCTAAACCCAGAACTCTAAACCCTAAACCCCTAAACCTTAACCCTGTAAGTTGTGGGCCCGGGATCGAAGCCCGGAGCGAGCCTCGCCAAGGGTCTACACCGCAGCTGTCCCCGACTCCAAGGCTCCGAGGGTTTGGGATTTAGGGTTAGGGTTTAGGATTTAGGGTTTAGGGTTTAGGATTTGGGATTTAGGGTTTAGGGTTTAAAGCTTAGGATTTAGGGTTTAGGGTTTAGAGTTTAGGGTTTAGGGCTTAGCATTCAGGGGTTGCGGTTGAAAGTTAGGATTTAGTCACTAGGGTTGAAATTTAGGATTTAGGGCTTAGGGTGTATGCTTGCAATTAGGGATTTAGGGTTTAGGTAGGGTTTAGGCCCTTTGGGCTTGAAGGGTTTAGGTTTAGGGTTTGCGTGGTCACACTGAAAGCTGCCTCTTCTTAGGCCCGTGCACGGAGACAGGGCCTTGGCATGGGGCACTCCATAGGGGCTCTCAACCTCTGGCCAGTGTAAGACGTCTTTGCTGAGAAGGGTATACCGTATACCCAATGACCATGTACCATGGCCCGTGTTTACACCCATTTAAGCCCATTTAGTCCAAGTTCCATTAGCTTGAAGAAAGATGAAGCCTTCGTTTAAGCAGAGTGACGCGGTTTCACGTTGCAGGGCTTTCTCACCATGACAGCTGCAACTGCTTGTGCCTGCAAGAGGCCGCAGAGCTCCTCCTGCAGACACAGGCACGTCCACACGCGGAGACCCGCAGACTTTTAGCTTTCAGGGAAGTGCTGGGCATGTTCGAGGGAGCATTTGCCAGTCATTCTTCGCCATGTGTGTCGCTCCTGGGCGTGACCATATACAGCAGAGCTACGTTTATCAAGCTGCATTGGCAGAAAAGGTGCTCCTTGATTCATTCCTACAACGAAAGCAGCAATGTCAGTTGTCATGTCCAACTTCCTTAGTCTCATTGTCATAAAGACTCGTGCAGTTGCCTTGCAGGCGCTTTTCCCGCCCCCGGCGCAAAGCCCTGGTCCGGCACTCAAGGCCCGAGGATGGCCCGGCATCAACACAAATTGAGGGAATCACTTCTGCGTGAAACGATGATCATCTTCTGTGCCGTTCCCTCTGGCATCGTCAGTTTTTTGTTGCGGTGGGTGCTTCATTGCACTTGCCACAGCTAAAACCAGCTACGGTGCCTTGCTGGAATGCTGACATTGACACACCTCCCGGGAATTCAGACATCGTGTCTCCCTTCTTTGACATTGTTTATTGGCACCCTTTGAGCCCTCCTGCTCTTCAACCGTCCAGGGCTCTCCCTTCACTTTGTTTGAGCTGGCGTACATGTATCTGTGCATTACGGAAGGAATCGTTAACCTTCCATGTAGCTGGCACGCATCACGACAACGGATCGTCCGCATGGTGTCCGTGCTACAAACTTCACAGACTGCAGAAACTTTATCGTTCCTCTTCGAAGCTAAGGCTGTATGGCTCCCGGCATAAAGTCCCATTTTTGACCGCAAATTCTGGAGCTGCGTGATAGCGTATGTTGCTTTTGATTTGAGTCAAGCTGGTCCTTGGAGCTCTTGGTGCGGCAGTCCTTCTCTCATAGACGGTGCCACGCGTTACTACCTCATCGGTACATCAAGAACTCATTCGGCTTCAGAGACTGCCACTGTCCTTTCTTTGAAACTGCTTGCGAGCTGAAGTTTCGAGCTTCCGTGAGGTCTTGCTGGTGGAACGACGATGTGAGGCAGGTCCCATTTCAGAGCTTCAGGCAGAGGATGTATCATAACTCTAGAACTACTTGGCGGAGCCCTGAACACATGCAGAGCCACGAACCCCAATGGCACTCAACCCGAGCGCCTTGCAGAAAAACAGCTGAAGCAAAAACAGATGTGCCTGGACCTCGAATTTTCTACCCTTACAACGTTGTGGATGCTACAGGTCGATTCTTTTTGCTGCTGCTACTACTACTACTACTACGACTACGACTACAACGTACCACACCACCACCAACACCACCTCCTCTAGTCCTTCTTGTACCTCGACATACCAGCATTTTTTGTTGCTAACCCGCAAAGTTTGAGACTCTCAACCCCGGGTTTTAGGGCTTTGGGTCTAGGGGTCTAGGGGTCTAGGGGTCTAGGGGTTTAGGGGTCTAGGGGTTTAGGGGTTTAGGGTTTAGTGGTTTAGGGTTTAAGGCTTCGGGGTTTAGGGTTTAGGGCTTTGCCGTGTAAAGCCTAAGCCCAAAATTCCAGGGTTCTCCTGGCCACTGCACTGCGGCTCGGCGGGGTCGCAGCGTCACGAACTTCCAGGAGGCCCAACACAAACGTCAGGGATCTAGTCTAGAGTTGAGGCCTCTGTTGGTTCAAGGCTTTAGGGCCGAGGGTATTTTAGGTTTGTAGGTCGTCATGTAAGGTTTTGAGAGTTTGGGCTTCAGGTTTTCTGGAGGACTTTGGGACGGGGTGGCGTTTAGTGCTCAAGCATTGACATGTCCGATGTGTGTGACTCGGAACGCAGGCGGTTGTTTGAGGCTTGGGGGCTTCATACCGTTACCAGGGCTTATGACTTTTGCTCGGGGATGTAAAAGGCTCGGAGGCCCTATGATAGTTGTGGAGGGAGGGGGTTCCAGGTAGTCATAACAACGTTGTTTCGCGTTGATGTTCAAGTTTAAGGTTTGGCGGCTTGTTGTTCATGGCTAGTCCACTGGTTCGTTGCAAAGCGTGACAGGTATGTCCCGAAAACACGTCTAAGCGGGCATCAAAAGGGGGTCGCAAGCAGTTTGTACAGATTCTATGGGTTTGCTTTTTTACTTTGGCAGGCTCTTACCACCAATGCGGTTCGAGTGAAACACTTTCGGTCGCTGTTTGCCCATCACAAAAGCCAAGACTTTCAACTGTGTTGGTTTGGTTTCCGCCATCCCTTGCACATGCCGTCTATCACCCTCAGTTCGCCTTGTGGCTTCATCTCCGTTGCCCAGTTCAGATTGCAGCACCATGCGCCCGGCGGCCGTAGGTCAGACTTGAGAGCTACTCCTGTGCCCATTAGGCCCAGCCCTACTCGGATCCTATTTTGGCCTGAGATCTCTTTAGCACCTTTTTGCCCCAGGTCTTCGATGCTGCGGCGCAGGAGCTTTCACCGGCCTCTGTTATCAAGTTCCGCCCCGAGGACCCTTTGCAATGCGAGATGTGTTGACATGCTTCCATGCTTGAGAGCTCCTTTTTTTTGGCAGGATGTTCAAAGGTTCGGTTCTTTCCCTTGCTAGCCTCTCGCACATGCAGGATGGGCACCTCATTCAAGCCCAAGATCCATGAGGAACTTCAAGTCCCGAATGCCCTGTCGCCTGTCTTCCACGAACTACTCCCACTGTCGTGCTAGTACTGGTACTTAGTACGAGTAATAGTAGTAGTCGTCGTAGTACTACTAGTACGACTACGACGACGACGACGACGACGACGACGACTACTACTACTACTAGTACTGCTACTACTACTACTACTACTACTACTACTACTACTACTACAAACCATTGTTATGAGTATTGTTGTTACACTGTTTTGTTATTGTTCATGTATTGTATTGGTATTATTGCTGTTATTATTATTACTACTACTACTACTACTACTACTACTACTACCACTACGATTACTACCACTATTCCTACTACTACTACTACGACGACGACGACTACTACTACTACTACTACTGCTAGGACACCCACTAACTACGCCGATGACGAGGACGCCCGCGAAGACGAATCTGACTGGGACTACGACTACGACCACTGCTGTTGCCATCCCCTTCATCATATGTTCATCATCATCAGGGTCATAAACATTATCATTGTCTTCTTCGTCATACGCATCTTCATTCGCATCATCATCCTTACCGACGATCGCGACGCCCAGAACCCAACTTGGACACAACTGGAACGCACGAGTACCAGGAGCATCCCGTTGCGGCGCAGGCTCCTGCTTTTCTTGGTCGCGCAAGTTTTGGCCTGAAATATCTTAAGCATGATGTGCGAGCGGTGAAACTTTAACATCGAAGCATGACGGGCAATGGGTGGCGATGCGAATTTCGCCGTACGAGTTCCACGAACCGGCCAGTAGGGGAAGGCAATTCCTCATCTTCAGGTCGACAGTCCCCGGGTGTAACAGTCTTTGCATGGGGGGGGTGGGTTGTAAAGGTTGTAGGCGCATGACACACAAACGTAGTCTTCGCAGTGTTCTGAGATTGCGGGGCCCGCGGGTGTAGAGACGCGCGCAGATCCAGGCATCATGCCCTAGCACGAAGACATTGATGCACCCTGACGACGAGAAAAAAACCCTAAACGCTAAACCCTAAACCCTAAAACCTGTAAAATCCGTACAACCTGAAAGCGAACTGCATTGCAAGACTTGGACTCCAGGCTGCCAGCTTTGCAGCTGCAGCAGTTGTAATCGCGGCAGTGGGGGCAGCCCTGGCGAATGCAGCATGGCTCAAAGAATCCGGCAATCATCAATGAAAAGCCAAGTTTGTTGCTTGAAGCAGGGTTTCCAGGGATGCCCCGCCTTGAGCATGAGAACTTTGTGAGGAACAGGTGGGAAGTCCAAGGCTGAATTGCCTGCAGACAGCAGCGCTCTGGAGGAAGTATAGACTGTCTGGTGCTTAGTGGGGAATGGGGGAATGGATTGTAGGCACTACCATAAGCGACCTTAAGGGACTATCATAGGGATCCATTCCCCCCATTCCCTANNCCTACTAAGCACCAGACAGTAGAGTATAGAGCGTGTGATACAAACTTTGAGAGGCGTGAGCATTGCAGGACCTTGGGAGATTTGGGTAGAGGGACAGCTTGCGAGGTCAGAAGGACTTGTTTAGCGGTGCCAGAGCAATCAGGCTGAATCCGGGAAGGCATTTCAACTCGAGGCCCGGGTTGTAAGGGTGGACAGGACAGGGCTGTAGACCCGCTGAATCCGGATGCAAAGAATGCATTATGGAGAGAACCCTCTTCTGCCGCAAAGAAGGTTAAAGCTTCAGGCATCCGAGTTGCTCGTACTAGTGACGCACCGCTGGTAGTCTTTATCGTAAGATTTTACGGTGAACGCAGAGTGGTGTAGGCACTGAAACGTACTACCCAAACCTTGAGGTCGTCTGGATGTCCGAGGGGAGCATGGTGGCTTGGAGCTCACAGTAATACAGCGGCCTTAATAATTAATTACCGAAACTATTTTTTTTTTTTTTTGGGGGGG